GTTTTAGTGGGTGCAAGGCGTCGAGTGTAAAACTCCAGAGGTTACCAAAACCCAGAATCCTGCTCTCGCAAGATCGTTCCAAGTGCAAAACCTGGAGTGTAAACCGCTATACTGAGCGCAGCTAACGGTACAGGATGCATAAGCAGCGTGGTCTGCGTTAAATATGTCTTTTCCTCTTGGAATGCTACTCGTGCGGCATCCGTAAGCATGAGCTTACGTGGATTACCAAGAAATAGATCCGTAAAAGGTTGCAGTCGTTGAGCGGCGTGTGGGATAAATCGTCTATAGAAATTCAATAAACACAAGAACGCCTTCAGGTTTTTGACTGAAGATGGTAAAGTGCACTCTCTGATAGCACGTACTTTATCCTCGCATGGTAAAATACCCTCGTGTGTGATCTTGTGTTTAAATAAAATCAGTTCTTTTTTGCCGAACTCAAATTTATCGGGGCTGACTACAATTCTATTATCAGATAAACGTTGAAGTAGAAAAGTAAAATGGTGATAATCTTCATCTACATTGGGAGAGGCAACAAGCGTATCGTCAATGTAAACGTGAACAAAATGAACATCTCGAGTTATACTGTCGATACACCTCTGGAAAGGCTGAGCAGCGTTCCAAAAACCAAAAGGCATACGTAGGAACCCAAACAGACCGAAAGGTGTCATGACAGCAGTCTTTTTGACATCTTCAGTGGCGACCGGGATCTCATGACAAGCTCGTACCAGATCGATCTTAGAAAAAATAGTCCTGCCATGAAGTGAAGCCGTAATTTCATGTATATGCGGGATGGGATAACTATCGAAACGAGTCACTGCGTTAAGTGACCGATAGTCGCCACATGGTCGCCAGCGAACGCTGTCTTTTTTAAGAACCATGTGTAAAGGAGAGGTCCATGGACTATGAGAAGGACGTACGATACCTTTTGGAAGTAACGTGTCGAACTCACTTTTAGCAAAAGCTAATTTGTCCCGTGTCGGTCAGCGAGGTCGTGCCGTGACTGGTTGGCCCTTAGTAGCTATGTAGTATGCAACACGATCAGTCACTAGTGTTAAATTCTCAATAGGTTTCGTCAATATAGGGAATCGGGTGATCAATATCTGGAAATCCACAGGGATATCAGGTATTAAAACCGTGATTCCGTAAACGTCTTTTCGAGCTTTGAGACCCGTGAAGTTGATATTCGACGTTGGGTGGATCAACTGCAGTCTACGTGAATCGACAAGCAATTCGTA